GAAAAGCAGATTTACATATTTCGTGAAATTGACGATTTGGGGTCGTTGAGTGTTTGAAATTTCAGAACAATGAAGGTAACGTGTAGATTGTTGGCGAACACGGCAGAATTTCAACGTTGAATGCTCGCTTAATGTGAGAGAAAAGCAGATTTACATATTTCGTGAAATTGACGATTTGGGGTCGTTGAGTGTTTGAAATTTCTTGAATGAAAAATTGACGGAAACAGGATTAGGTGAAAGGGGATAAACAGGAGAAACGTAGTTCTTTGCATTTCTAAAAGGAACAAGTAGCAGAGGTGTAGCAATTATCTAAAAAATTAATTTTCATACATTTGGTGGTCAATTTTTAGAAGAACTACGAACTGTCCAGTTCATATTTTGCATCGGTGAATTTATCCTCTATTGTTTATTTGTACAAGAAAGCAATTGTCGTCTAAAAAATTTGACGGTCAATTTTTAGAAAAATTGTAAAATCGTTGATGTTACTTTGGAGCATTAGAAGTGAGAACCTGATCAACAAGATTGAACTAGGTATCTCTTCGAAAACTGAATCCTGCAAACAGTACACTCTAACAAACAAATTTGAAAAGCATCTTTAAATTTTCTAAAGAAGAACCTTCCAATAATCGTGAATTCGAAACAAAGTGTGAACCAATTCAGCCGATCGTCATATCGCAATTCCCCAATTTGACAAAAATTTCCATTCCAGCTCGCACAACGAACGCAACCTCTTCTCTTTTTTCGCGTTCATCTCGTCGATAGTTCAATTCTCATCGCACAGTTGTAACACCGCGGTAAGATGCCTATCGTTTCGTTATATAACACAATATACCTAACAGATCGTGGTATGCACGCGTAGTCATACTCCTCGGTATTTCTCGAACAACGTTTCTTGTGCACTTGACCCCGAAAATCAAACGTGACGTATCCGAACGTAGACGTTTGCTTTCGTAGGCGCGAAATCCTGTCGCAACTATTCGCCAGTCCAGTTGCGAAAATCGCTACGTCACTCTGCTCTAACCAGTTTACACCGTAGACCCGATAATAGCGAAAGTAGAAGGAAGACGAAGGAGACTGACCCTGATTCGACAAAATTCCTTCCCCCTTTCAAGATCGATCCCTACCCTACTTTTTTATCCACGAAATCTCTCTCCTCCGGCTTGTCGAAATGTCTCATCTTTCCGTGACGTCTGATCCTTCTATGACGTCACACGTGTAATCAGGCACGATTGCGTTACCCGGTATAATACGTGGCACTAAAACCTACAAACCGTTACCCCGATCTTTCCTACTCATAACGCGATTTCCAAAGCTGATGTAATAGAAATCGTTTAGTCACCCAGGAGTCCTTTCTCTGCCATCAATCTTTTACAACGGTATGTATGGTAACTCTGCGTTAGCTGTTTCAATGTTTGTAAACTGTGAGCACCACGTTGTTTTTTTAAATTGAAAGTAGAAGAGGCGAAGGTTGGAAAGAAAGCAAACGAAAGTTTTATGGTAAAAATGCGACACAATCGGCGAAGATTATTCTACAATTCCCTGAAAACTTAACGCGAGCATAGTTGAAACGAAGTTGTTAGCGTTACTGGAGAAAATTCGGTTAAATGGAAAAGCTTCTGTTGGGATAGAAAAAAAATTGATTATTTTCCTCCGGAAGTATCAGCGCTAGTGGATATCACACGGTTGCGAGTTATGAGCGAGGAAGTAAATAAGAGGCAACATCGGTGACTTTCAAGCGAGGATCGCAGGTATTGAGATAGGAAAACTACACAATTAATTGAATTAATCGATTCCAAATTTACAAAAGTGTCTAATTTGCCAGAAGAAAATTTCTACACCGTTTTAGACAAGTTCACAATTGAAGTAACTGTTATTACAACTATTAACTAATATTACAGGCGCATCAGATATTTCTCGCAATACTGGTTTTAATAACGTAACCAAGTGTCTGGTAGTAGTCGACTGTGAACTAGCATTGAGAAGGTTGAATCAAGGAAAACTCCTATTATCAGGAACATCGATACAAGGTGTTAACGATAGATGAGCAGACATACAACTATGCAAATAAATCGTTCGGTCACGATAAGTTCGCTCCTCGAAGGAAAAAGGACATTTCGTTGACAAAAAAAAAGAAAAAAAAAACGAATAAACGTAAATCGCTCATTGTCATTGTCATCTTCATCGAACACTCGATCGACAAGCTTGTTATCACCACAATCTTGGTTGCAATTACTTCAGGCTGTTGCAAGAGCAGCGAGATATCGTAATTATTACTATTATCGTCATCTTCTCTATTATTAGCGTTGTTCCACGTTGTTATGTCTACAGAGATCCTTCAAGTGTGTATCGTACAAGCCGACGTACACACATGTATGTCCACGCTCGCTTTGACGTAGTTGCGAGACACGCCGCCGTCGCTGCTTATTAATTGCACACGTTCGAGAAACGAACCTGTTCTCCGTTGGATGCTGCGTACAAAATTCTCGCTCGCGAACAAGCTTGCCACAGTTTCGCGAACGACGCGTCGCGGTCTTTTGTCGAACGGCTCGGCAATTAAAACAGAATCACCGCGTAACCAGACCGTCAATGACGCACGCGCTGCTCACTCGTCGCGGGATACCCCCGCGGAAAATTTACTCTCGGATTTACTTCTGAAAACACATTAATGCACCGCTGATTCTCACGGAGGAAACGAACCGGTTAACGACGTGTCCTCTGTTCCGAGTACGGAAAAAGAGCTCGCGTGCCAACGACGACGGGAACGTTCGTGCAGCTGCGAGGACCTGACTCCCTTCTAGGCGACATACCACCGACGATTCACCTCGGGATAAAGCGGATGTAAGATGTAAAACCCCCGGCAACAGTTTCTCTCTCTCTTCGACGTTTGCACGTTCGCTGGATATTCACGTGAACGTTTTTTCACAAGAGGACGATCTTTTCTCGAACCTGGAAGAACGTTCTACTCCAGAACGGCAATTGTTGTTTCAACCACACGGAGACGAAGCAACGGAACTCGGCGAGGAAAATGCACAATTGTCAGCGAGATGAGGATTTTGGAAAAAAATTTGCAAGATGAACGTTACAGAGAGCTCTCGGATCGATGGAACGTCCTCCCACTGGGCTATGTTTGCAAGAAGAGAAATAAAAATGTAGCATCCGTTCGGAGGACTTAGTCGATGTTCAATGATCTGTGGTAGATGGTATCGCGGTGCACCTGTGAGTGGCACGGTTGGAGGAGCCGCGGAACGTGCCGGTATAGCGTCGAGCTTCCAGCAGGGTGATCGTGAGGCGAAGTCGAGATCGCTTCGTTTAGATGCCCGGCTTCCACTACGTGGGAAGGTGGGGATAAACTGATGGAGGGCGTTTAGTGGGGATAGCTGGTTGCTCGCGGGGAGTTATGAATGAGTCGTGGAGTCCTGACCCACGAGTTGCGCGTGGTGGGAGAGTCGGCAGTGGAGAGTGTAAAGCAAAGGGGAGGGATGCGGATGGAGACAGGAGGCGGCAGAGCGCGGAGAAGGCGGTGGAGCAAAAGGAAAAGGATGCCGGGGGGAGAAGGAAGAATAGGAGAGAAGCAAGGAGTAATGAGAGGAGAACGAGAGAGATTCGAGGTGAGAGAAAAAGAGAGTGGGAGAGAGAGAGAGAGAGAGGGAGAGAGTAAGATAGCAAGCGATCGAGGAAGGGCGAAGATGTATAGTGGGGATACTTAGGATTGACCGAAAGCGAGGTGTGGGCCACGTGCTTCGGTGCCTTTATAATCGTATATAGGCACCGGTCGACCGAGTGGCCACCACCATACACCGATAGTCATACACTCAGGCTGCACGAGATAAAAGAGGAAAAGAACGCCGGTGTCGCGGAAGAAGAAGGAAAAGAGGAAAGAGAACGCGAAAGAGAATACACAATAGATAGAGAAGGAGAGGACAAGAGAACGACCTACCGACAAGCAAGGCAGACAGACAGAAGTCCACCTTCCACTTCCATTCCCTTACGCAGGTTCACTCCTACTATAACGACGAACGAACAGCCTGCCTCTACTCGCTCGCCTGCCTATAGCTGGCTTCTCCTTCTCTGTTTCTATACCTACCTACCTACCTACCTTCTCTGCGCCGTGGTTAACTCGGACAGAGGCGAGAGGTGATACACTCGATACACTCAGCCAGACGAGGGCGACGAAGACCTCAGTCACCTCCTGACATTCGGTATGGTATGACCTTACCCCACTAGCGTGCCACTAACAAGGTACCGCCGCCAAGAGGAGGGCTGAGAAACGTCGAAAAGATCTGAGACTCCGAGGATCAATGGGGGGGAGGGGACGACCAGTGAAAGGGATAACCGCCGAGACAACCGGGAAAACTAAGAAAAGGACGATAAACGAAAGAAAAGAAAGCGCCACAATTGCCGCCGCACGGGCCACCCTTAACGGTGTACCAAGCTACTGATTCTTCTTCTTTTTTTTTTTCCTCTCCACGTGTATACCCCTCCGCCACACATTCTTAACCACCTACCACCGCGCCCTCCTCCGCCTTCCTCTGAGACAGCTCTCGTAACCCCCTTCCCCCCTCGTATAAGAATCAGTGCATCGCGTGTGTCAGGACCAGTGCCAAACGGGTTGTGATTCTGTGCAGACAGTTTTTCAAGTGTGATCACTCCCGGTAGCTGAAGCAACCGGCGAGTCCTACGATTGAACAGAGTGGACACTTGGTGTCTTTTCCTTCGGTTATTCGTATATATATATCCATACATATATATATATATTTTTTTTTTATCGAGAACTACCCTCTCCCGCGGGCAAATAGAGGTGCCACCCATTTCATACACTGCTCGATGACAAGGTACCGCTGACCCGCGGCGGCCACGACGTAAACAGTACGGTTGTACCATCATCGGTGTGGAGACACGCGAAGATAGATACTACATCTCACTTACTCCTTGGCTGCCACGCGCCAAACACACACCGCGAGTGCCTGCGTGCGACGAGAGTGATCAAGTGCTATGCGAATATGACAATTATGGAGGATACAGCGAACGCTTACAATCGACAAATGACAATGGAGGCAATTCTGACCCGTGACCAAAGGACCACTTCGCATAGAGTTCTCGATCATCGTACCTCGCCGAACAGCATGATCAACGCCACGGCGTCCAGTAGTATGACAACGTCGACGAAACGGTACAAAACTGTACTGGAGGCGAATCCTCGTTACGCAGCGGTCATTTCACCGAGAATAGAAAACAGTGATCAAACACAGAGACACTTGCAATGTGATTCGTGCCTCGTACCTGCATTTTATGACGATCGAGGGATACGATCGAGACGCAACGCATCCGTCACCGCGACCACGTGGCTGAGTAAGTCCAACTAACTGACTACAGAACACCGACGATACTTCGGTACCAATGATTTGCCAACCAAACGTGCATAGTCATTCATCCTTCTCCGTTTCTCCCCCCCCACCCCCTACTTTTCTATGTTGTTTACGATTGTCGAAGAGTTCGTCGACTCGAAAATTTCTTTTAAATATCAATCTCTATCGCTGAGGTACAACTTGCTGAAATACTATGTCGTTTTGCCTTGTTTTTCTACTTGCAACGTTTGTGGCGATCCATTGGAACAGATGTCAACTCGATCCTTGTTAAGGGAATTTTTTTAGTTTATAGAATATTTAGTTTCATGTTTGTCTTCTTGACGGAAAAAGTTTGAGACGTTCGATTCGCTGAAATATTATAGAAATTACACCGCATTGTTTTATCTTGCCCGAATGTTTGTTGTCAAAGTGCATCCTCTTTCCGGTTACAATGGATTCTTCGAATTGATACAGCTCGAGATACTCTTGCTTCACTCGTACGATTACATTTTCACACTTTTTTTTCCTCCAACCGTTTCTATAATTTCGCGTAACTGTCACTCTCGTTATCCCGATCGATTCACTTACGATCGAATCTACCAGTCACCGTCTGGTCACTTTTCACTCCTCGGTCGATTTTGTACGAGAATGGAAGTTTAATTAACGTCGATAAAGAAAAACCTCCATCTCTCGTTGTGCATTGGAAATTGTTCGATGAATACCTGGAGTAATCACCTGTGAATCTGCACCGGTCGAGTCCCGTGTCGGAGACACACATAAGTTGCCGTCTAGCGAGTTACAGTTAGCTGAAAAAAACGAATATCGGTATAGATGTCATTCATTATCGCTTTACGTCTCTGTTCGTTCAGACTGCAATACACATCTATACACACCTGACGCTGACTCACGTAAAATCAATGCTTTCTTACGTAATGATCGTTCAGCATCTTTCGCCAGCTCTTTTTTCTTCTTCGTGTCTTCGACACTTTTACCTCTGATAGGTGGGGTTCCGCGACTATTGAAAAGAAGAAAGAAAGAAGCAGGTACAGAGTTCAAGTTCGATGTCAATTATTTCTGCAATTAGGAGACTTAAGTTTCATCGTAGTAAACGAATCGTTGGAAGGAAGAATCGACTGCTACGATCTGTTGCGACTTTCTGTTTCAATCGCGTACCGAGCAACATTTATATCAACCAATCCTGTCTTGTAGACGTCAAGTTGTATCAATTCGAAAAAGTGACGTATCGTGAAAACGAAAGATAGTCCACGCTTTTCGACTCGAATGTAGCAGGTACATACTTAGCAAACGTGATCATATAACGATTTTTTCCCGATCCATTGTCCTTGCTGGCATTTTCTCTCGTGGTTTGACGTCACTTTTGAACAAGTCGATGAACGCATTAGTCATCTTTCTTGCAATGGTCCTCCTTATCGATGCCTTGTCGTTCGTTCTTTTGTTCAGAATTAGCCAGGTGGCAGGCGATATTCAATTTTCTACCTGCACCACTTCGTCGATCCTAGATTTTCCATCGAATGTAACATAGATGTGCCTCTCGAGTGACGCGTTTGACACGAAATCAGCGAAAAATGTGACATCAATTCCGGTTGCGGCATGCGCGTGGTGGCACACCCACCTGTGGAATACTCGCGAATCCACAGAGTTCCCGCTGATACCTCGTCGGTTCGTCAAATTTCGATGCGTCACCCAGCCAAGTTTTACTCCTTCCTGTGTCACAATCAGCCGATAGTTGCTCAGAATTAAGTCACGGTTATTCTCCATGTGAAATTAGACAAGAATTCTGCACAATTAGATAGAGTCGAGACGAGCTGAAGTCTCTCGAAGACGTTCCAACTCGAACCGTCCCCTAAATTCGAAATTTCTTCGGTATCGAGGGGTCGTGGTGTGCAACACGGACAGTTATGCAAAGTGTGTTTATCGGAAAAGAATGAACGATAGGTAGAAAAGGGCGTACAACAAATCGACGAACGTATACACTTGCCACGCACTGGCGACCTACCGCAACGCACTCCGGTCTGGGCATGGACACGATCTGGATGATAAGGGGGTGACGGGACGGGTGTAATGGGGTATAATTGTCGCGAGCAATGCGAAGACAGTGCGTCATTACCGCATTTTTCACCATCTTCTTGCCAGCCAACAGCAGAGATGCACCTTGCACCGGTGTCCACTGACTTTGCGCGTCTTACTTTTTTCCATGCAGCCGCGGGTTCTCAGGAATTTCGTTGGAACGCTGTTGCCGAGCGTGGTCGTTGAGGTAGGTCCTAGCTGTACCGTCGACACCATCCAGGCCACACGGGGCGAAAGTACAAAAGATGCGAGTATTGACCGTTAGATGACCACCTAACTAAACGTTCTTCACGATGAATCGTGGGATTCGAAGAGAGAACATGGGATCGGTTTCATCGAGTCATTCAGCTCTTGGAGAATATTCTCCATTCGATTCACATGCATTTTGATAATTGATTAAAATTCATCGGTAGATATTTCGCCGGTGGTTTATACGTGGGATAAAAAGCAGGTTTCACGTGGAAGTTTTGAAGGTTGACATGTGTAACGTTGATCGAGGAGGTTTCACTTTCTAAATAAAGAGTAGAATTTCTTTTCAAATATGGATACACTCGGTACACAGGTAAACACATTTGTGTGTAGGAGATAAGGAAACGGTATCGGTGTACGTTTAACACGAAGCAAATCCGATGATGCACACACCAGTTGGCAAGGTTGCACATTACAAGCCCACAGGTGGCTCCTTGGATTTTTTTACAGCTTAAGAATGCGAACTTACTCGAAAGAGCGCCTATCATCGTAATTCCCTTCTCGGACAAATTTGGCCGGTCACGGAGGACATATCGTATAGCAATTAAGTTTCAGTGGCGCAAAAACGTGGCGCAATTAAAGAAACGGGAGAAAGTACACGATGCGTATACAAGCGACAAGTAAGGAAATATAATCGTAGACCGTTGAGATCATTTACCTGAATCATGGCAACTTCTGGTACGATAAAAATACTTGCCGCATTATTGAATAGGCGCTTTTTCCCCAAGTACACGGTTTTTCGAGCATAGTAACGGAAAATCGTGCGCCTAACGATATCGTTTCCACGCTCTAGCTCGATCCTAATTGCGCATTTATCCGTTTTAATCGTCGTTCCACTGAATTGTCCGTTTTCTTACCCATTCCGCACCGTGAAATTCACCGAAACGCGAAAACGTTCGCGCGCGAAGCAGCGCGTCGTCGTCGTCGTCGTCGTCGTCGTCGTCGTCGTCGTCGCCGCCTTTGCTTCGCTTGCATCGCCTTCGCGTACCTACGTACCGCGACCAATCGAGCGGCAAAATTAATCCGATGGTGCATGCGCGTTCCCCTTATCGTCGAACTCACGTGTCGATGCAAATGAGTACGAGTAAATTCACGTGACTTTCCATCGAAACTTCCTGCGAGCCTCGTACGTACCATGTGTGACCTATCTATTCCTCCACGAAATTCCACTCCAATCTGGCTGATTAAAGGTCGAGGCGCGTGCCTTCTATTTCATCGTCGTCGTACATTTCTGTCCGTCGTCGAATCGAACCGAGTTAAACAATCTCTGTTTCTCGGAGATATTCCAACGCAGAAAGGGTGTTTAGAAGAAGTCTACCTATTCAGACACGCGTTTCGCCGTTATTTCGGGGTGTAAACTTCCCCACGGCAAATTACTCTCTCACCGAGACGCGAAACGCACTTAAAAGCCGCTCATTAATATGCGTTAAGTGTCCGAGGTGTCTCCCTGCCCTCCGCCCCGCTCACCACCCCTCCTCGCCGCCCCCGCCGCGTCACTTCTTTTTCGCTGTATCTTTCTCTCTCTTTCTCCGTCCGCTTATTTTTCTCCTTGCGACTCGGGAACGCGTCCGTCGTGCACGTTTCATCACGCGTTGCTGCACATTAAAATTAAATTCGTTAACGCCCGCGCACGATAGCACAACATACCTAGATTTTTTCTAGCCGTAGATACCGACCGTTACGCGAGAACCAACAATCTCTCCACAACGACCTCTTTTCTTCATTTTCCACCAATTCTCGCACACGTTTATCGTGGAATAAAGAGAAATTGTTGAGCGAGGATATCGAATAAATTTCGGGCAAACGATGAAAAGCATCGATATTTGTGAAAGTTTGTTTACCAGGGATATAAGTTCGATGGGAAATAACGTTGTTTAGACGGCGGCGCGGTGTACACCTACATATATGTGTATATCGGTTAGACATCGGCGTTACATATGAAACATAAAGGTATACGCTTGAAGCGTGCATATACTTGGCAACATGATGGAAGAAAGACGGCGACGTTTAAACGGAGAAAGAGGATTTGTACACGGTAGACCGCGGTGGTTATACATCTTCCGAATGCGTACGCGACTGGTGATGGTTTGTCGTCGTAGCGGTGCACGTGATCCCAGGCCCCTCATCAAGGGTCGTAACTCGTGAAATAATGCGACGACGAATTCGTGTGGATGTAATTCGACGAGCGGTGATCCCGAAACTGCCAGATGATCATAAGACGGCCTCGATCGAAATCTACCATTTAGGCGCTTACTATCGGCGGAGAGAACATCCGAGGGTGGAGGGAACACGGCGAAGGTAGATGCAACAAGCCGGAAGCTCGGGGATTTCTCTCGAGGGCATCTTTCCCGAGAGTCTCACGTCAAATCGTTGATTACTACTCAACCACACGAGCTGGTTCTCTTATCTTCTTCTTAATACACGGTCAATTCCGTTAATAATGTACCGCGGCAGTTAGTCATGAATTGGAAATAAGATTGGGAATTGGAATACACACCACTGACACCGATGAAATTAACATCAACTCTTAACTCTTTCTCTCTACACGATTCTGCTATTTCATGCTGAACGCGAATCGTGCTAAAAAGTGCCCGTTTAACGTGATACCGCCGTATTTACAGGATACGGTTGCACATAGTGCCGATGTTACGATTTTACTTCACTGAATTCCCCTCCCGATGTTTAACCGGTTGTTAAAGTATCCTTACACCTGTCTTTAACGTCGAGCCAAGGTACAAAGAAGCTTACTTCGATCGTTCGCTACTTTCTTTCACTGTGCCCAATTAACGGTAGTAAACGGCGAGATCAGAAATTTCGAACGTCCCCCCGTATTACGTTATCCGTGTAATCATTTCGTTCTTCGATTTGACTTTCAGGGTTAGGCAGTCTTCTGGTGACCCTGCTCGTGGTCTCGGTGCACAGCGCTCCGACAATGACCCTCGAGGATAGACGACTGAGCTCGCCCCCGAAGTGGGTAAATCCCTGTGGCCTTGCCGCCGAAGACTTTACCGGTGATTTGGACGTGGTGCAGCTAACAGACTTGCAGCTTCTCCATCAAGTTGTTGTTCAGGCGAAAACGGCACTGATGCACGCGGAGCTTTTTCGCGACGATTACGTGAGTACTTACACGTCGTTTATTCGTCTTCTTTCTTTCTTCTGTCTCTTCGTTTCGCGAGCGTAATCACCTATCCGTCCTTCTGGAGAAACGTTTTGAAGAAGAAAAAGAAAAACATAAGCTCGAATCTGTCGGAACAGCGTTCTACAGGCGTGATCTACTCACGCGCTATATCGACGATAGGAGACGAAGATTAAGTTCATCAATGGTTCAATAATTACCGACGTGACTTCTGGTGGGGATCGGACGGGGAAAGGGGACATCGAGCGGAAGGCAGTTATGGCAGTACTTCCGGTCGTACGGACGTTGATCGTAGAGTCACACAGACCTTCGAAAGAGATCTTCGACTTACAAGTCGACTTTTGTAGCCGCTCAAGAATACACTTTTGGTTTTGATATCGTGCCCACCTTTGTTTTTCGCGGCTTTCGTACCATCATTTGGCTTGAGAATTTTCATATCTCGATACGTGTATATTGTTTCGGTTAAAAGGGAATAAATTGTAATATGCGCACGGAGAAAATGAAAGTGAGGCGTGTCGATGTTGTAGGTGAAAATGAAATTTGAAAAGGATCGATAGTCACTCTGGTAATATTACGGAAATTATGAGATTTACTTTTGCTAATAATCGCTGCTAGATTACTTGAATAACATTTGCTTAAAAATGTTCAACAAAAAGGAGGCATTTTTTAATTTCAGTTTGCTGTTACATAAAATTTTCTTTACTGTACATTTTTATTCGTTTATATTTCAAGCAAGTGTCGCTCATTGTTAACATCTTTTTCACTCAAAAAAAAAACAACATATTTTCGTTACGGAATCTGCCGGTAACGATCAAACGATTCGATTATTCGATCGCCGAGTACTTTTCCCGCAGAATAAGTTGGAAAGCGACCGCGACGAAATTACTCCGTTTCTCTTATTGCAAACGTAACGCGTATTTTTTTATTACGCGTAATTGCACAGTGGGAGATACACGATGGAAAGAAAATTCCTCGAACGCGAGGAAAACTGTGTTCGATTTTAGTATCGAACGTGTAACGTCGACTCGTTGTCATTCGTAATATTTTCGCCCGAGCGGTGGCAGGCAGGTAGCTCCTTCACCAAGCGTTTCTTTCTTTTTTTTTTTTTTTTTTTTTTTTTTTTTTTTTTTTTTTTTTTTTTTTTTTTTTTTTTTTTTTTTTTTTTTTTTTTTTTTTTTTTTTTTTTTTTTTTTTTTTTTTTTTGCGAATATTTTCAAATATGTAAGTGATCCTGAGGAGGAAAAAAAATAGATCCGTGCGACCGCGCACGGAGATCCTTCGTTTCGAAAGAATCTTCCCAGCCGATCGGGCCTTATTATCTCTAACCAAGGACAATAAATCACGGACCTGGTTCGGCCTCTCGTTGCTCAAGGTTCCTCTTCTGAAACGATCCGAAAAAAGAGACGTGGAAACCGCAGGATCGAAGGTACGGTTACACACGCGAAACTTTACTCTCGTTTTTTCGGACAGATTAAGCTTGTCTCCCTAGTTATGCACCATGCACACGTGTCAACATGATTCCGGGTCTCTAACTCTTGCGCCGAATTCTTGGATTCACCTGACTCATCCATGTCGACCGTTCTATGCGCTTCCTGTTTCTCCTATTATATCAAAAACTGCACCGTGCGGTATAAATTACATCGTGTCCTTAAGAAGATACGTTTCACCCTTCAATACTCCCTTTGTGAATGTTGTCAACGAAACGACAATTAGCGGTAAATTGTGCCAACATCGCTCAACTGACACACTTTGATTCCGACAAAATTTTGCAGCCAGCTGGAGAATTCGAAAATATTAGATACCTGCGTCCTTTTAGCTGTTGATAGTCTCTTTTAGGGGATGAAATGAGCCTTGAAACTTGGAGTGCTGGTAAACTATTACCGATTAGGATATCTCGAAGGTGAATTGACACAGAGAGAAATGTTGGAAGAGTAACTGTATGAATTTTATTAGTGGGGAATGTTCACTGGGGAACTTTCGTTGAGAAGACGATTTTACCGCGAATATTTTGCTTAGTGGAACCCACGCTCGACGGGATTAGCATTCAACGCGTGCGACCATAAAGGGTATTTGTGTGTCTTTCCGTACGTATAGGGCTCGTTCCGCCCTGTGGCCCCACCAAAGTCACCGTTACATAATCGCTTCACGATACTTGATACCGATGTTTTCTAAGTCAGCGCATAATCCGATACCGTTTGGTTCGCTAACAGTCTTTCTCTTTCTCCGCTTCTCTTTCTTTTCCTCTCCCTTCTTGGGAAAACGTCGTTCACCAGCGCGACGAAATTGCGTCACTTCACGACGAACCTTGTTTCAACAGTGCAGAATCATTTTTACCTTCTCTCAAAACATTATCCAAACTTTCTCAAAGTAGCCACGAGAGAGAAAGAGAGGGTCGACTGGGGGCCTCTGAGGACGTTCCTGTTGATACCGACTCTAGGCGACGCACTGTCTGGTGGTCCAATGACGTCACCTTCCAGTTATCGTTATCGTTTCAACGTCGGCAGATACTCTGCGGAGGGAAGATAGATTAAATAGTCGGGGATATCGAAGCGCAAAGAAGTTTCGTGAAATAGATTGCCGTCGCTTCTTGCCTCTTTTACCGTGCCATTTCCATACGCAAGTCCTTTCTTTAGAAATCTTGTCACTCGTGAAGGATCCAGGATGTTCGGTTCGTTTAACAGTTTTATATGTTTGCCTTTCTATCGGTTAATTATAAAGAGATTAGATTGATACTTTTTAGTCGCGAATCGTTATTTATTGTACCTTAGGATTGCGTATTGCTAGTTCAACGCAATTTTCCTATTTTAATACAGACGAATCGAGGTTACGTCGAATTACCGTATTACACAAATATTCTTCGCTGTGTTCAATCCGAATACTTTTGGATTATTATCTAATTTGGAAAATTAGGCCGCGAGTGTAACATTTTGTGCCATTCTTCTCGTCGAGATAACAGCTGCATCGATAAGAAATAATTTATTCTCAATTTTGCTAATTAGCGAAATGGTTCAACACGTGAAATTTTGAACCTTTAACGGGAGAGATGGAAAAGTAGAATTTTCACGGTAAACACGATAATTTCTACGACGCGTCCTTGTGAAATGCTCGTAAGAGTGCGTGATTACATATCCGATATTCTGTTCTTCGTAGATAGGAAGTCCGACGTCTACGAGTCGCGTATATGCGCGTCGGTACGTGAAGGAATCGGATAAAATATCGGAAGTGGAGGATTCCAATAAATCAGAATCGGAAGCTCCCCCTCCCCGCCAAGGATGGGGCATCTATACACCACACCGGCACTCTACCTGCATACTAAAGCGCAGACCGGATATACAACCCGCCAGTGCATTTACTCGCCTCGATACATTCAGTACGCACTACGACATGTATTTTCTGCTAGTCGGCACAGGCTGGATGACGATCCGTACGGTTTCATTCGATGTGACACATTTTTCAAATACGCCTCGCTGCTAACTTCTTTCAAACTCCCATTTCTCTTGCTCCCTTATAAAAATTCATCTGGGAAAATTAATTAGCTGCCCGTTCATTCGCATACCCTTCACGTACCACTACGATTGCATAATAATATTCAATATAGAAAAATGAAAAATTTCAACAACACAGTTTGTGGTCGATTGGTCTGGCAGTAGATTCTCTGTTATTTCTTAACTATTCGAAAATTCTTCAATTCTTACGATTTAGAGTTGTATCTAGTTTCGCGTGGAAATTCCAACGGATTTGGGTAGATTGGAGAAATAAAGGAGAAGTTGAGTGGAGGGAAAGAAATGGTGTTTCGAAATAGGAAAGATTTTTCATCGGTACAAAGCGTTTCCTTTGTGTCTCGTGGAGTCGCGAGCCTCGGCAAGCCATTCGATCAGTTCGAGGCCGTCGCACCGAAATTTTATAACTTCTAATAAGCGGTGGAGCGGTGAAGCCGTGCTAGAAGAAAGACTGAGAGGCTAATTGATTTTGACGGGTCCTCGAGAGTACCGCAGAGACCATACCTACTCTTGCCAGCCTACTTCCTGTCAGTTTTCAGCCCGGTTTTACGATTATTCGTGCCCTGGTGTGGCCGAGGAGACTTTTACGAGGCACAAAAGACCCGCGTCTCAGATTTGCTCGCCGCCAGTGGTTGTTAGCGACAATTCCTTTCATTCTTCGCTTTTTCTTCTCCCGTTTCTATCCGTTCTCTCGCTAAAACCTCTTCGTGATTGCCTTGAAACGAGCAGCAATACGAGAAACCCACACATTTCACCTGACCTGCAGATATTCGCGACCTGTTCGCTCCAAGATGGATAAAACATGACCTTTAAAAGGCGCATTACAAGTTCCTTGTTCTCTGCAAGTCGAAGGTGCGTGTGTGTATATATATATATTGTATAGAGAAGCCAGTGGTTTAACTAACAAGCGTCGGGATCGAGATGAAAAACAAGCTATTAAACGAGCAGACGGAATTCGAGCAGCTTATCTGAACATTTTAATTCCGGACGAAAAGAAAAAAAATGGTGGTAGGATGATCAATTGAGAAATATGAACGTGTAACGATACGTTTTAATGTATTTTTAACACAGAGACACCCGGCTTCGTGTAACATAATCGTAAAATTATTTAATTGGCCGTTCGAGACTTGGTTGAAAAACCGGCAATATGTGTGTACTCCAAGATTCTGCAACAATGAATATTATCCGTGTGCCGATGATAATAACAGTTCGTGATACAACCATGGACCGCCCAGTTCGAATCATTGTGTTTAATGTTTCCAATAAGAGATCTCTATGTTGTGAAGTATCCGTGTCCTCTTGGAGGGTTTCGTAACTATTTGAGTATGAAAAAGGATCGATTACTGATCGAAGACAGCTAACTCCAGATACACGCCACTTAAGACGTTGCGGTAGTGTTAGTGTGAGTCTCGTTTCGTGATTCCCACACTTTTCGTTTGCCCTTGTTTTCCTTCAAATTCGATCTGCGAATTTAACGCGCAAGACGTCTACTATAACTTGCTCGCCTTTCGGATTTTCTCGATCAGCATGCGTAGATCTGGCGAGAGATGTTCTGCAACTTGTCAATCCTTCAGACACTCCTGTGACACGCAAGTTTGTAAACGCGATACGCGAAGTCTTCATTGACGATATTAGACGCTACTTTTGATGATGAACAATTTATCGAGTACGTTATTCCTGGCAGCCGAGTAGTTCTCAGGAATGTTGTTTGCTTGTCGGAGTATTATCGCAGTCTGCAGGTCGTGAGAGTAGTATCGCGTGATGATTATTTCCATTCCTGGGCCAGATAAGGGCTCGGATAACTATGTTATCTCTCTGCGGGCCAGCTGGTCCAAGATGCGAGGTCGAAGACACGTTCGATGATAAGGGAGAATGAATAAATTAAGCCGGTAATATTAGCACTAATTAATCTTCGGCTATTGATCGTTCCAAGCATTAGTTATTTATCTACTAAATCGACACTCGTACATATTTGAACGTAAACAAAATTCTTCTACGAGTGGACTGAGGTTTGGGTAACTACGAATAGTCGATTTTAAACAACTCTTATTTCTCGTGTGTCCATTTTTGGCAAACTAGACGTAAGATACAATCTTCTGGGGGTGGATCGAAAATTTCGAGTAAAAAACCAGACACCGATTATATCTTAACGATATAATGTATATTTCAGCAGTGATACTCGGTACACGCGAATTTATTATGACAAATTCGTCTCAACTGAGACGAGTGCTCGAATAACTGAACTGCTATCTTTTTGGTAAGGGATTTTGTACAAGCATTTAGGAGGATTTTAGGGCGAAGGGCGAACTTGGTTCTGGTGACGAATTGCTATAAAAGACTTCGAAAAGACAGTCAGCGAGTTGATTAATAAGTTGTTTTCGACATTGCAGCAATATGATAAAAACAAGTGAACATCGCTGTGTCTCTCTCACAGTCCCCTATAGGTGTTTATATAAACGCGAGATAATTCAATCGGTACGTATTTAAAACAGCCATTTCAGAACGTAAGCACAGACTCAATCGATGACTTCCATAATTTTCTAGTGCAATAACACATTCAAAATCGAAACTTTCGTTACAATATTTAAACAAAAAATCAAACGTGCCCAAAGCTTCGCCGATATCGCAGCTGTTCAAAGTCACCGACGATAGATATCACTACCAATCAACAGGCCTCGTAAACCCGAAAATTCTCACTCGTAAAAATTTGTACTACAACATTCGTTGCATCGACAACAGACCATAACTAAACGTAACACATAGTTGATGCTAAAGTGCCGCTCCATTAATCAGAAGCAACTCTCGAATTACAAAGTTTGATCGAACCATCTCGAAGATTAACGACACCCAATCGCCTATACAAACGCTACTATATCGAAAATATATCAGGTTACACTTTTATCGCGGTTTTAAGCATCGTTCAACTTCCTCTCCAGTCACGATTGCGACAAACCGAAGATCCTAACAAGAATTTCTCTTCGCGACCTTGCGACCGCCTTAGATCCTTCTACCCTAAGCGTGCGGTTCCTCGACTCTCACGCTACATCCCCCCAACTGGTGTCACAAACAAAGCTTTTCACTTCCTTTCGACCAGTTATTCCAGGTTTGCACCGCGTTCTGAACGCTTCCAACGATTCACAGCATTTTCTTCAATGAAAAGCTGACGTCTCACGAGTAACAGTGATCCGCTTGGAAATTCTGAAAAATTGTCGTGAAACGTAGCTCGAGTTAGGCGCGTGTTCTTCGCATGGCTTCTGCGATACTAGCCTGAGTTTACTCATTCGTCGGTGTAGCTCGTCTATATTCCCATCGTACGAGGATCGAGATCGTGCCCCGATCGTGAACGAGAGGCGCTGGTTGCCTGTTTAATCGGTGACTAAACCCGCTAACCTGTTATTGAACCATACTACTCTCGTAATAAAGGAGCTGTGCAAACATTTTTGCATATGTATGAACCGCCGCTAATTCAACGTAAACCAGTTGGCGCAAACTCTCCAAATAAAGACATCTCGCGTTTCATGGCCGATCATTGGTACCTTTAACGTGCGAATATAGGTTATTTGCCCGGTAACATAACAGTTAGCTTGAAGAAAATATTCTCCGTTCGTTAAGAGCTTCGTTACATTGTGCCTGAACCACAGCCTCCCCGTTTCCTCTCCTATACTCATTTTCACTTGTATTGTTCCATTTCGTCCGCCGGTGAAATTATCGGTTTTGCTAGAAGATCGCAACTTTACTTCGATATTATTCGTTGCGTGATGTTTAACCATGAAGATGATCAAGTTAGAGACGATTTGCTTGTTTCTTCAAGAGAGAGAGAGAGAGAGAGAGAGAGAGAGACGTAAAAAGCTGTCATGTGTAACACGTATAAAGGCAGAGTATAGTTGTAACGTAACGTTGTGAAAATCGATTTAATTTGAGAATCGTTGGATAAATAGAGCGATTACTTTTACGAATGTTTCTGCATCGAAGGACGGATAACGACGACGATGGGTGCTCTCTTCATCTTATTTACTTATATGCTGTTACAATTCTCTTTCAGTAAGAAAAAAAGATACTTTTATTTACACCGGCAATTTTCTGTCGTGATTTTACAGGCTAAACAAACATTCAATATTGATTTCGCTGATTTACATTCGACGTTTAAGGACCACCATTACGATTGGCTTCCTGGAACAAAAGAAATTCCCAAACAACTAGGAGAACAGCTGGAACAGGAGTACCTCGACAAATTAGAGGTATATATGGATATTGATTTGTTTCTTCGTTTCTTTCTCTTCTCTCTCTATTTGCTTGCAGGATTACGAATAACGAGGATAGTAGAAATAAATATTCGGTGAACGTTGTAACTGAGCCGTTTTCACAGGCCAAAGTGGTTAACTCTGCTTTTTCAATTTTTTGAAATTTTATTGCTGCACCACTTGTCGATAAATTTCCTTAATAATTAGTCTAAACAGCGCTAAATGACAGAATAATAAATTATTTCTTTCGGAAACTAATGTGGTTGGTTCCATACTCTAAAGTAAATAGTTGTAATAATTCAATTCGAACGCTTATGAGAATTTAGCTCTAAGTAATTTTTTAATGCAACGGTATAAAAAATTTAGTGCTTGATGTATGTAATTTCAATTTCTTTACTTTTCTGTTTGGTGGAGTTAACCGAGTTGGTAAATTAGCGGGTCAATTCTCACTTATAATAATAAGTTAAAAATTTCATTTCAAACGTCAGACACTGTTTTTGTTTAAATATTCCTAGGCATTGTATAGAGTTGTCCGAATATAATTAAGTATAATGAAGAAATAATTAACTTCTATTAAAGTCATATTAACTTCTGAGTTACAATTGTTACTTATAACAGTAACTTAAAAATTGAATTTTAACCATCAGACACTATTCGTTCAAATATCGTTAGACATTGTTTGAATTGAACCAATGTTTACATTAATCCGTTTAAAAATCTTCCGTGTATTAACTTACTTTTAAAACGACATCTGAAATGAAAGTGTAATATGAAAAATTATTTAACGTTTGTATAGCTTGACACAGCCCTGATCGATGCTTACGAATACATGCAAAAGTATGCAGTGGGCCTGGAACAAATAGTTTGGGACCAAGAAGATCTCCAACTTAAGTTTCGCAAGCAATTTAAGGACACCGAGTATAAGCTGCGAACGGTAAGTCTACATTTACCATAGAAATATGCACCTTTGATTTGTTCGAATTGCAATATTCATTTTCGCCAAAAAAAAAAAAAAAAGACAAACTTTCACAATGGTACCCATCTCACCGAATGCTACTAGCCTGAATCACGCCACCTTCCATTGTCGCAAAACGCGATAAAAAACGACACTTGGCAGATTTTACGAGTTTGTCGCAAAACACCAATGTACCTGAACATTCTAACCGCGAGATGAAAAACTGACTCGATTTCTCTGACTTCTACCTATTGTGTCCGGTCTCACTTGTTCACCTTCGAGGAGAAATCAACATATTTTTCAAATACTCCGCCAAATATTCCTTCGCCAAAGAAGAGATGCAAACTTGTTCAATTACTCAGCTATGAATATACCCACGTACCAACTTTTTCGTTAGCTCTAAAAAAATATCCAATTAACGTTCCTTCTCATTCGAGACACTGACGAAAAGAAACAAAACGCGTCCCAAAGAGAGCAACCTATAATGTTAAGAAATTTGCGGTTTCAGGTTCTCTGCGAGCTGCAAGTGGCACTGGTGGAGCGGCAATTGTCGTCACGACCAGACGTGACACGCGACATCATGAAGTCGGAATTCCGCGCGGTGTCATCGTCGGAAACGTATCGGAATCTCCGCGACTGGTTGATATTTCGGGACTACATGAACGGCCTGGAGTACGTAGTGCAGGTGTTCGAACACTTGCGCCGTGACCTGCAGTCCTGAGGATGGCAAGGCGGAAGCCGAAGAAGGGCTACTAGGCGTCGACTCGCCCATCTCAGGAAACCGGAACAGCTGAATCTGGACGGCCAGGTTTCGTCATGAGGTTCGGGAGGAAAGTGGGTAACAACAGAGTAAAGCCAAGGCGTGTTCTGTCAAGCAGGCCGTGGGCTCTACTCTATCTGTCCCGGTTCCAGTGAGATATGTCTCCACGGCGACGAGCCGGTATATCTGTCGGATCATCCAGTGGAACATCTACTTGTTTTGTGAAATCGACGGATATCCCGTATCGTCGGATCGCGAAAAAGTGTACGCGCGCGTATATCTATCTGTATCGAGTTGACCATTCGTGTGGACTTCGAGACAGAGATCGGAGGGAAATCATCAACGAGTCTCGTCGATAATATACATATATATATATATACACCAAGGTCGTCGATCCTCGTCGATGAAGTTCCAGCGAGAACGACCCGGGGAGAGAGAATGCCAGGAAGCAGAGTCGTACGATCAGCCCATTGGCTTTCGCCGCCGTAGTGGTGCACTATTGTGCCGCAAACACACAATTCGTGTTGGCATGGATTTAACGCTGGTACGCGTACATACATGCCCGAAGTATAATCGTAACGCATGAGAGGATGGGTAGAAAAGTGACAGATCATGAAGATCAGCCAGTCCCGAAATGACATCTTTACCCTTCGCTGAGATATTCATCATGAAACAAAGTCTTACGTGGTAGTTTCTCCTTTACGAATTCTTTCACGTCGTGTCGTGTAGCTGCTCCGTCTCTATCTTTTCATCGTGCTTTTTCCGTCTACGGGATCAACTTTTTTTCTCTCGTTCGTAGTACTTTATCATCGAACGACTCGATCTAACATTTTAACGGATCAGACTTCCTTTTATTCCTTTCTTATCTGATACAACGCGGTATTCAATTTTATCTCGTAAAGTGATTTTTATTCGGTCATATATTCGATATACAATTAAATCTACGATAGTTTTTTTTTTTTCCTTTTTTATCGACAGAGCAGTGTATCTCCATTCTTCCAACTTTTTTTGTTTCTTTGAAAATGCAGTTACTTCGTTCGTGTTTGAAAATTCTAAAGCAGCTATGTCCGCAAGCGATTCGTACGTATTTTCATCGAGGAATGTAAAAAGAGAAGGGAACAAGACGTGAAAGAAGTTTAAGCCGAAAGGAGAGAAAGGGATTCAAAGGGAATCCGTCTAAACGAGCTTGTGCACCGCAGTGGTATTATATCCTAAGTACACAAGGAAATACAGTATTCGCGCTTTAACTTAGACTATTCGCGTCGAGCGAGAAACAGAAAAAGAGAAAAAAGCGACAGAAAAGGGAAATTTTGCGCATAGATAATGTGTCGCGCGAGCAAAAAAAAAAATGGAACAACACGACGGCGTAATTTTATCCGAAACACACGTCGAACGCGAGAATTGAAATCTCTCGACGAGCCATCCGTGCCCCCACACTCTTAATCCTACGTAATAATTTATTGACTAACTGTAATATTATTATATTCGTATTTATTCAGATTATTTATTTTATTTTTGTAAAGATTTTACATGTCCAATTAACTGTATTTAAAGTGTCTAGTTGAGCTTAAAATTACCTATAGTATAAGAGTTGTATCGTAGGGGAAAAAGAAGGAAACGCAACGACGCGATCGACGCCATTTTATGTTACGCACCGAGGCTGCTAACGTTTTAACTCCTTTCGCCTGACGTGTGCCACTACTTTCGCACGGTACGGAAAAAAAAAGAAAAGAAAAAACGTAAATCCGCGAAGGAAACCGATCAGCCCAAGAAACGTCCGCTCCTCCCGTACTTCTTATTTGTTTGTTTTTCTTCTTTTTGGAAATGATTAATTTATCCGCGTGAGAAAAATGGCATATTTCAATTAGTTTTAAATTGATCTTATCCGACGTTC